ATGATTTGCATCATTTTAAATATCCACATCCAATTTTGCGAAAGTTCTGCGAATGCAAATGTTCAACAAATTCTGCTAAGCGTCTTATAAGGGTCATTCCATAGTGTTTGGTGAACACTTTTTTCTAGAATGTAATTTATAACTATGTTCTCGGAATTTATACAACAACGAAAGAAATTTTTTAACCTAGAACGGTAACTAATGTATAAAAATGCTTTAAAAAAAAATATCAAACGCTTTTGTTCCAGCTAGTATAAAAGGGAACTAGTTTCAAACTATCCTAAAAAAGACTCAGTCTGCATACACAAAGTGTTCCAGTGATAACTGCTTTTCTTTTGGCAGGTGATAGGGGAGGTCTAGGCGAACAAAAAATTATATATGAGGTGGGGTCTAAAGTGCAGTAGTTCTAGTAGTGGTTCTCACAACTTAATAAAAAACCCTAATGAAAAACGACCTAGGAAACTTTTCTAGCAAACTGTATCAGCTCTTTAGAAAAAAATATTTTAAGGTAGTTTTTTCTTTTTAGGGAAATCTGGGAACTGTAAATAAAAATTTCTAGAATCCTTGACCATGGCGGCCATTTTGTTATTAAATATATATATATATTTTATTTTTTTTTTCAAATTCATCATGAAATTTCCTCCAAATTTGCAAAATATGTGTTCTACAAACTTTTGGTTTTACTCCAGAAAAACATATATCTGCATTTAATGCTCCTTATTATTAAAGCTGATGTTTTTACTCTTGTTTTATCTGTTTTTCATTAATTTATTTTGAGCATGAGTTAATTACTGCGCGAGGTATTTTGTACAGTTTGGTTAAGTGTGGTGAAAACCGAAAAGTTGTAGCAGTTGAAAAACAAGTTTTGACAATTTTTTGGGGAGATGTCGACTCTGGAAAGTTTAAAAGCCGTTCGATGAGGCTGAATTTGAATCAAAGTAGAACAATTACTTGCTTATTCCAAAAAATAGAAAAAATCTGAAATATAATTGATAGAAAATGTTTCCAACTAGGCTTTGAACTAGTTATTTATAACCATATTGAAACTTATATTCTTCTTAAAAATCATGCCAAGTTTCAAATTGATATCTCTAAAACTTTAACTAAAATTGTATTTTAATGTCCTAGATTAATTAGCTGATCGCTAGTGTGTATTAAAAAATGATAAAGATTTATATCTTTATCATAAAAAATAGAACAGAATTAGATAGGTTTATAAAGATTTTCGATACATAAAGCATTTAAGGCCCTCTTTATTTTTTATGAATTTGTGTATTAGTAAATACCGTGTTAAAGATATTTGGTAATTAGAAAAAATATCCACTTCTCCTGGAATCTCAATTTATTATCTTAAAACTCGAGTATATATATCGCACATTTTCTTGAAAGGTGTATCAATTCAGTATTTGTCGTTTTTGATACTGTGCGTAAAAGATATTCAAAGACCGTATATTTTCCTTCCATAAAAAGCGGAAATTAAATTTGTTTGTAATTTGAAAAAATCCGCACTTATGCATTTACAAACAACTTATACTTACTTTCGAAATAATATTTATTAAAAGTTGTCGATGTATTGAAATACCCAAAAGCAAGTCAAAGCTTTTCAAATTTCTTACTCATTAGCCTGAAAGAGTACAAAATTCCACAAATAGCTTATTACCTTGTTACCAGAACGAATCTTTTTGATGGTAAAACTCTTTTGTAATCAATCATTTTTCATTTATTCAATTTTCTCAATCAACTACTGCAGCACATCGGTAACCACTTTACCAGACCTCAAAGCGCGCATCACTCATACGCCATGGTGTGGCACACCAAGCACGCTAACGAAAGGCAAGAACCAAAAGAATGCTGACAAAAGCGCGTACGCTACATTTAACAGTTGAATGGTTAAAAAAATCGCGCTACTCACGCTTGTGTACGTACGCTTGTGCAAAAAAGTATATTTCTCATGATACTAATGCATATACGTATGTATGTATGTATAAATAGACATTGTCTTCTTCTTTTCCTTATGTATCTCATACATAAGTATACCCTAAGGACATTCTTATTACGATTGCAACTTATCCGTATTCATATTTATCCAATTCACTGGCTGCGCATGAAACTTCTTGACGAAAATTTCCTAGAAACTGTAAAACTTTGCAATACCCTTCGCCCTCTTGCTCAATGCTACGTTTTGCCTGAACTCTGCTAGCTTTACGTTAGGGAGCCCGTATAGTAGATAGTTGCGAATATTTTCGCACTCCTATTTTGACTTTATATTCCATTCTTCGTGCACTGCAAGCGCATTGTGGCTCTGTTGTTGCGGTGTTGGCACTGCTGTTGCAGCTGCTTGTTTGCATATCATTACCGGCAAATTGCAGGAAAACTATGCCAAAATGTTTTGGGTTGGAATGCAGCCAACGCTGGAGGAATGTATGTATGTAACTACGTTTTCTTATGATAATCGCTGTCCAAACTATGAACGAACCATGCAGGAAAGCTGGCTTAGTTTAAATGCCAAATATATCTACATATACATATGTGTGAAAATAATATTCTCAATAATAATGAAATGTTAAACTTACCGTAAATCAATATTTTTATGCACAGGCAGGTGATTAAGGAGATTTAGTCTTGAATGTATATTCAGTGCCACATTTATAGTACGCCACCGCTGCCTTTGCTGAAGGGATACTATAATATTGAGATCCCCGAGGCTTATTACTGGCTTATCGACAATGTCGCGCCCGGGCTTACACATTGTAGAATCTTTAGTAATGGCTTCAAAAACTGACACACGGTCAGCAGCTGGAGTCGTTATCGAAAGTAATTGGAACTATATTCTCTTTACCTCTATCTTGGAGAACATGCCTCGGTATTTCACGCTGAGATATTTAAAAGTCTCAAGACCATGGACTATGTGTAGAAAAAGGTATAGAAGTAGGAGATTACGTATTTGTAATGACAGCCAAGCTGTACTTAAGGCATTAGACGAAACTCTAATTACTTCCGAGTTAGTTGGGCGCTATGCAAATATCAAATAATTATATTAGAAAACATAGCGAAATTATTTTAGTCTGAATGTTTCTGAATCACTCTGGAGTACTTGGCTATAAGACATCGGATCGCTTGGTTATAGAAGGTTTAGCTTAGGTATTCCTTGGTCCGCAAACAGTTGTAGCATTTCTATCTTAGGCCATCGATGCCACCGTCAGAAACTGGGTGAATATTGCGCTTACCAATGAGTGGAAGGATTTTCATTTATTTTATTAATTTAATCAATTAAAATTTTCGAACATGTGCCAACTTCGGCTGTAAGCCTTCTTAAACCTTATTCTTCTGACAGCCATATTGCAATATTTACTTTGTCTTATAAATTTACAGTTTAATTTTCAAACAGATGGCAACTGTCTACTTTTTTCCTTCTATATTTTAAGTTGGACCACTTTTAGTACATCAGTGAAAACTGCATTCAATTTAATTCATAAGCTTTCGAGTGATGTGCGTACAAAAATAAAGACGGACAGACAGAAATTCTAAATATTGTTGATTTGGCCATATTAATTTATCTTTAATATCTATAATGTACAGACATCGGCCTGCTACAATTTTATTATATGTATGGATTAAGTGATGTCAAAGGATAAAATGCACAAAACAATAATAATATGAATTAATCTATTTGGTTTTTGGTAAAACTATAGCATTTTCATACAGATCCAGTAGACCGTATCCCAATACATACTTTATGGAGCAGCAATAACGATTAAATGCTCCAATTGATTTTGAACACTTTCTGCGAGAGAACTCCTCTGGCTCTCAATTCGTCCATCAGCTTGATCCGTTACTAAAAAGCTTTTCCAACCGCCTCCTTTGCAAAGTTGCGCTAGTTGTTCATCCCGAGTTCAGGGCCCTCTACACTTGTTCGCCCATTGACTCAATCGGCGCTCTTTCTTACGTTGTCCACCCACGGGTGCAGAGTGGAACTTTTTTTTTTCCATATCTTAAGTACACTCTGGACGTTTGCTACCAGATATCAATCTACATCTTTGAAGGAGTTGGCCCCGGTTTTGAAATTATTTGATTGCTGCTTTGGGGTAAAAGCTACTTTTTTTCGTCGGATCTTTCCAAGATTTTGTCTCTGGTGAATACTTAGTCTATAGTTTCTCTTGCGATAAGACTTCATAGCCGATGCCCTGAAAGCTGATCCGGAGATAGTTGACGCTTATATCAGGGCGGAAATTTTTGCAGATGAGCCGAAATGCACTTAACTTTCAATCGTCCAAGCATGCTTTCGTCGAACCAAATATTGAATAGACTCTATATATCCTCGCAGCCATTTTTGAATAGTAAGCATGTCTCGAATTTAAGTTTTGTGTGCGCTTGATATTTATTCACATGCATATTTACTTTCAAATGTAGCTACCTAAGTGGGTATTCAGGAAAAAGATAATTTGCCGAATATTACTTACCCGAATTTAACAGAATTCCCAGTATTCGAAATCATTTTTGGCAAGTGTTCCTTTGAGGTCTTTAGAAGAGTATATGCAAATGATTAAATGTAAACATGCTAGAAAATTTTTGGCACTGAATTGCTGAATGGCAACAAGCTATAAATGTGGCATGCAAAATACCAAAGCAACCAGGCATTGAGTTGTATGGGCGTAAATTCGATTTCACTTTTTGTTAGTAGCTGAGAAATGAAATGGTGGAAAATGTCAAATGGAAGGGAGTTTAAAAAATGCAAATAACGAGGGAACTTAATACAAGTGCACAGGATAAAAAAAAAAAATAAAAAAAAACAAAAATGATACAAAATATCAATTGCGAATTGGCAGCAGCTGCCGCTGAGTTGGCAAGACCTGGGCTCTTTTGATTTCTGATCTCGAATATGTCTGTCGTTATAGAATTTTTTTGCTCTCATATTAGAATTCTGCATATACCTATTTATGTTTTGTAAGTGCATAATGTTGAGTCGATTTCTTATTTATTTTTAAATATTTCCTTTGCAGCAAAAATGCAACAAATCTGGAACGATTTCAATGGCACATCTCTAAGCGTGAGCTGTACAAGGAGAATGACACCACTGTGGATGCATTGCTACGTGATATGATCAAGCTGCCGGTGCAGCATGTTGGTAAGTGATTACATAAATATGTACGTATGTAGATACACACTTAACTTAAGGCTTCTGCCATAGTAGTTACATTTTACATCTACATACATACGTACGCGAATGGTACATACAACAAAATTTAATTGTTTTTAATATGTGACTGTTGTAACACCGTGCGATAAAAGCAACAGAATTTCAAAACACAAAAATCAATACACTCACGAAACTATGGGCCAAACTGCGTTTTTAATTTTTTACTCTGACTTCAGTATTTTTGAAGGTAATTTGAAATTTTAAAGATATTGTTAATTCAAAAAATTATTCAAAAACTCAGTGCTATGTAGAATAACATTATGATTACCAAATGAAAGGGATAATCCTGTAGTATTTAAATACGGCAAAGTTTTTGGTTTACAAGGAAGAATAGGTATTAAAAATGCGCTTTTAATTCAGTTTTTTTTTTTTTAAGTTAATAAAGTTAGAAGCACGAAGTTCGAGGAAGTGATCGTTTGTGTTTCAGTCCTTAGCATATAATTTTTTCAGAAATAAATATTGCAAATTTTCAAGGATATTCAAGTACAAAACTTTAAAAGGACATATTCCATACCCATTAGTCCTCATGTAACAAAAAATTTAATATTTCTTAATTCTACAGAATTTTCTACTTTATTTGGTACCCACATTTTTATAATGATTTTGGGACTGATATTTTTGAAATTTTAAAGTCCTTCTTAAAAAATCTTGACGTGAGAGAGAAAAACTAAATACGCAGAAAAGTTATTTAACTTTTAGTCTTTACCTTCACAAGGTAAGCCTATTTTGCCCTTTTCAAATAATTTTTATAGTCAGCTTATATTCTAAATAGCATTTACCAATTTTCATGATGAGCGTATAACTCGTTTAGAAATCAAGTCTTACATTAAGTTCAAATTGGCCCCACTTAACTTGTTAAATGAAAAAGATCTTTTTGGAAAACGCAATCATCCACATTGAACATTTGGAGTTTGTGTGTTTTGAAACACAAAAACTTGATTTTGAATATTTTTTCGAATTCTTATTGGTAATCAAACAATCGTCAAAGTTAACTCCAAACGTTCAATATGGACGATTGCGTTTTCCAAAATGCTCTTTTTCATTTAACAAGTCAAATAGGGTCAATTTGAATGTAATAATAAAATTCTTTCTAGGCTACGAAAACTCACAATTTTCAGTTATTGTCGACAGAAGAAAAAGTTTGATTTAAGAGTTTTGCTCTGCTTATATATATATATATAAAATAGATTGCAAAACTCTGACTAATTAGAACTGAATAGACTGTTTTGGTGAACGTCTTAAAATATAATATACTTTGCAATACCGGCGGTAAAAATGCAACTTTTTTTGGTTATGCAGACTAATATAGATATATATACGAGTATATATGAACAACAATTATGCTTCCTAAAATTAAAGCACATATGTGTAAACAATGCTTCAACCAAGTGCTCTTCCTGTTTTTTTTTGTTGCTAAAGTTTTCGCATAATTAATTTATTTGTCTATTTGAAAGTTGCTTGAACTTCTGCTTAAATAAATGCACACATCCACACATATGTAAGCGCGTATTCATGAAATTCTGTGAAATAAATATGTTCTCTCATGTTGTTGTTTTAATAAACTTGAAAATTCAGTAGAAAACATGAAGCACGATGTACATTTTAAACTAAATTTCATGTACGAATGAAAGTGATAGTTTTTTAGGTGTATAGTATGCTTGTACATTAGACTGAGCCTTATTTTGCAACTTTATCCTACAAAGCAAGACTTCCCCCAAAATGGTTCACTTGGTCATAAAAACGTGACCTGCGAAAGAATTTAAAAATCGGATAACGGAAAGACATGCCTCAAAGGCGGTAACGTTCAGCAAATTCATGGAATTTTTCACAAAGTGATCGAAATTGCTTATAAGTCAGTAGGAAATTTAATATATTTTGATGGAAATTTATGTAGTTTTGCCCCCATGTCAAAATGGCCATAATATTTTTGAACCTCCCCAACTTTTAAAGTTATTGAGGTTTTTTCCATGTAAAACTAAAATTCATTCCAGCGTAAATTAATTAATCACCAAACCTAATCAATAAAATTAAGGGTTAATGATTAAAAATAAATTTTTTTAGTCACGGTTACGATTAACTGTTCCCCTTTCCAGTGAATAGTACGAACGCTGAAAAGATTATTACTTTGCTTCGTTATCGTTTTTACAGATCTGGTACTGTGAATCGGTGCATAATTTTGCTAGTATATTCAAGAACAAGGTGCAAAAATATGGAACAAAAAAAAAAAATTCTTTAATTCGTTTTGCAAACAACGTTCGTCCTGTTAAAACTCGTGACATTTATTATTAAATCCGCTATCAAAATTTTATTTTTCGTTCGAGAAAACCACTATTTTCTAGCTGTCCTGTCGTGATTCTTTACGTTATATAGCAAAATTGATTCCCTTTTTTGAAATTTTCTGAACACAAGTATATAGAGCAGACCTGGGCGGCGCCTGCCCGGCGGGCATATTCGCGAAAGCTTCATTCAACCGCACCGCTTGTTCGCACGCACACAGTGACATAAATTTCTCGCTCACTACAAAAATTCTCTGTCAAAGCTGCCCGCCTCTGGTATAGAGTAATCCGTAGTTCCCTTGTGGTGTCATACAACAAGGTGCTGACCTCGTAAAATACTTGCGTTTTCTCCGTCTAGCTTTTGTGTTCTGGCTCCATTTCATGATTTTTTCATGCGATTCTATGAACCGGCTTCAGTTGTCAAAAACCTTTGCATTTCCTTCAGTTTTATTTCCAACAGATCGCCTGTAAAGTCCTGTATTTGTGCAGCCCTCAATTTATGAATTTTTTTGAAAAAGATTTTAAGTGTAATTCTAGTAACTTTCCTATACACATAATGATGCTACGAATACCTGTACCTATTCAAGTGAATCAAAATAATAAGTATAATTTTCGGGTAGTTTGATAAACAGTTATTTTCTTCAAAATCCATGATTCTTCGAAACAATGTCAGAAACAAACTTGATGCCTTAAAGTCCAGATATAATATTGGATCTTGAGGTGAAAATGTGTACCTATTCAAGTGAATCGGGCTGTATTTTTAAGTAGTTTGATCAATTGAAATTGTCGAGATAAACTTAAACTCTATTGGAATTTGACTCCCACAAATGAGTATTTACCAAACACTGGAAAATTTTTACTTGTAGAGTTAGGATAAACATTTTCCATCCTTTTTCAAAATGGCGGGTCCTGCAAATAAAATTTTACGTTCCCAGCAGTGGGTGTTTCAATCAGTTAAAGGCGTGTCAGACGTGACAATATATTTCGTATGCAATATATTGCGAAGAGGCTGTCAAATTGAGAAACTTCAGAAAGCAGTTGCATGAGTAGTCACACCTTCCATGTAAAGTGTCTTTCGAAAGAGGTTTTCATATTTCCGAAAGCAACAATTTTTTGAATGAATAAAGTCAAGTCAATTTTAAAGTTTAAACCCTATACACAATTTGTTTTTTCAAAAACTATATTTGAAGGAAAATAAATTTTATGGGTTTTTTTGGGTTTTATAATAGTGGCTTGAATTAATTTTAAATATTCATTAACGCCTTTTGGTGGTCGCCATCAGCCAAAATTTTGTTTTTGCGTTCATCTCCGCTGGATATATTAAAAAAGCCGGTATTATTCCTTCGTTCACATATTTATATATGTAAGCAAATAGTCGATATAAGCAACTCCACAGTATGTATGTAATTTAGCGTTTTTTTTTTATAACGTTCAGAAAAATACCCCATATGTATATATTATTCTATATATAGACATATACACACATTTCTATTCTATTCTCTTATATGCAAAGAAATTTGTGGGAGGAGTTGAGAAATACCTCTAAATAGCAAATATAGCGAGCCATCTGATTTTATCAGGTATTACCAAGAGATGAAAAATGGGAATCAAGGCGTAAAGTTTGCGCTGGGCAAAAAAAAAATAAACATTCCTGTTTCACCCGAGGTTGCCCTAGGATTTTGCTTTCTAGCAACTTGCAAGTAATGCAATGCGTTCATATATTTGACCAATTTAAATTTGTTGCTTACTGGTTAATTGATGAATATTTATTTTTTTTTGTCTTTTTGTCTAAGTTTACTTTGTTTTTAATTGGGAAATAATTGTAATTGATTTTGCAACTTTATACTAACATCCATTGGTTTTTTTGTTTTGTCTTTTGTAATACATAAATGTAAAACTTTTTCTTTTCAATCTAACCACTCACTTCTCACACAAGCGTGTTGTTTTGTATATGTACATACTTACTTGCAAATTGTTAACAAGACACAGTAGCAACAATGTTGGTGGAGTTAAAACAACTCATACTTCAAGCAGCAACCGCTACATTCTGCTGGCTACGTCGAGTTAAATTGCGGTTTGCCTACAAATGTCAAGGTACCTGAATACATACCTACTTTTGTTAACAAACTGTAGGATGCGCCTTTACAAAGTACAACAAATGTTAAACAGTAACAACCAAATAAGTGCAATTAAGCTAGTTGGATCTGAAATTGCTCTCATAGTTGCAAATTGTTGCAGGGCTCTTTTAGTTGGGTTAATTTTTGAAAAGTGTTGATGTATGTATGCACATATGTTTGTTTGCGTAATGAAGCCATTTCCTTATGCTTGACTATTTTCGTGTACTTGTGAGATGGAAAAAATATGCATGCTACTTACTTTGTTAATTATTTAAAGTTGCATGCAGCGACTATATGGGTATCTTTGAATACATACATACATATGTATATATGTATTTAGCATTGGACTAATTATATCACATGTGGCTGTAATACATAGTTGGTCTTGAGAATATTTCAAGGAAGTATGATATTTTATACAGATCTCGCTTCAAATATTGGAAATTCATATGTACAAGCCATTGTGCCCCTAAATGTTTTACTATTTCGGAAAATGGCATTAAAGTTTTCAATTATTTATAAAGTGAAAGATATACAAATTTGGGAAATATCCACAGTAATATGGCATTATCTTTGACAAATTAATTTCTTTGAGAATGTAGCTTAAATGACGAACATGCTCGAATGACAGCAGTGTCGCAAAACCGTTGCCAGCAATGTTTGTTGCATATAAGCACAATGAAATCAGCAAGGCCTAATCGGTAGAAGTTATAGCTGCTATTACAGTTATCATATTCGGCAGGAACCGCACCCGGATCATCTATGTTAAATACTCCTGAGCTGAATTTCTACTCCATCTAATAGTTATTAATATACATTTGTATCTAGTACATACTATGTGCATTAGAGTGTACATACTAGAAAAAAAGTTCGTCATACACCGTTGAGCATATAGTATATAATTTTGCAAGGCAATTTCGTATTTTTCGTGATATATTTGGCATTTACAGTCGGGCCTTAATGATGTTCTTGTTTCGAGGAGAACATTTTTTTGCTCCAAAGTTCTTTGACCTCAATTACCCAATTGTAATACTTACCAAAACAGGTAAGGATTTTTAAAAAGTGGTTTTCGGTACTAGCACTTGAAAATTTTTATTTAAGGCGTATTTTAAAACATCCTATCAAAATCTGTGAAAAACGAAGTTTCGAAAAAAGTGCTGGTTAAGGCCTTCGTGAATTATGGAAGTATATATGTATGTTGCCAGTTATTTTAGATTATTAAAAAACATATTATTTTATCCCTTTTTTCGGTACTGGAAGAGACTTATGTAATTATCAATAACAGTAAAAAAATAAATAAAATAGACTTTGTAAACTAACCCGAAAATGATACAATTTTCATTCAACCTTCAAGATCTTCCAAAATTTCATGTTTTTTTTTGGATTGCAAAGTTTCATGTGGCTATCGTTCACTTAATGCAAATTTTTGATTAAAATTTTAAATTATTTTTGAAATTTTACCATGTAAAATCAGCCACATCATAGAAATCATATTTATTTCCACTTTTCCATGTGTTTTTGTTCAGCTGAAATTTTTTCAACTATAAAAAATTTAATTTTTAAATTTGACTTTGAAAAGCAATATGTATAAAGAGGTGTACAAATACTTATGCCAAAACATCATCAAGATCTGCCGCAACTTCCTTTCCCTTTTTTTTACATTGTGATGAAGTGATGTGATTAGAGGATCGGAAGATATCAGCAACATATTCAATAAATCAGAATTTTGCTCAAGCGTACATATACTTGAATTTATTAATTCGCACCATTTTAGGATTCACTTCTCACAGATTCCTGTTTAATTTTTGTAAGGCAAAGTTAACCCAATTTTACTAATATTTTAAGATTTTGGACTTTAAATCCTTTTTATATGAAAAACCCATACTTTCTCGCAGCTGGTTTACATCTTTTATTATTTGGGATAACTGATAGTAGACGCCATGTAATTGGTTTTTGGGCTGGTTCTGGCTTAGTATCTAAAAACTTAAGTAAAGTTAAAAAATGTAAAAAATAAACCTTTTATTACCAACACAAAAATTAATTAACTTAGATTAATACAAAGTTAAGAAAGAGCTTACTTTAAATAAAAGATCAATGTGTCTTTCAAACAGAAACAAAATTTATGAAATATCGTTTGCCGTTTATGAACACTACTTCTCCAAAGTTGAAAAATGTTCATCACAAAAACCAGTTTTTAATTTTGACTAAACTTCGATGAGTTTTAAATCAAATATCTTTTGACCCAAAGTAGTCAGAGCAAAACCGAAACCGGATTAAGAAAATTCAGGGTATTTTTGTATTAAGGGCATAATCACAATTAAAATATTTCACGGCCAAATTGAAAAATTTTGTTTGCATTTCCACACTCTTAGTACAGATACATGTAAATTTTTGTTTTTGTACTCCTGTTATAACTTCATATTTATTCGCCTTGGGCGTTCCCTAGGTTCGGCCAAATAATTTATTTAGTATTTTTTGAAATTACTGTGAAAAAAATATTTTGCACTCAGGGTTGTACGTGGAGCTTTTTACTGTTAGTTTGTAAGCCGGTTCGGTCTAATGTAGATATCTAAAGAATGAATTCTTGTCTCTCTAGTCGTCTCATTTGTGTGTTTCTAGACTTTCGTATCTACTATTTAGACAATTATCTCGCTTTCTGGCTTTTGATAACAACAATTCATTTCCAAAAACAATTGCATTGCGGCTTTGAAAATAGTAGAATCAACAGAAGTTGCGGAATTTTCCGGAGTATAAACTTCAATGCTCTCTACTGACAACAATGTAGGAAAACAAACTAAAAATTGTTTATGCATTCGTTTTCCCCTCTTTTACTGCTTGTCAGCGCAAGTTTTGCGGTTAAAGTGTATGGTTTTGCACTGTGTGTGTTTATTTGGCTTTGTTTCAAATTGTTATGGGCTTTTTTTGGGGTTTGTTAGCAACCCATGATCAGAAGAATTGTTCATTTCGCCCACACAAAAGCAAAAAAAAAATGAAAACAAAGGCAGACAAGTTTGCGTGTGCGAATTGCGTTGTTGTTTTCGCTACGCATGCAAGCATTCTATGTGCAGCCTTATAAATGCACATTAGGGTGGTCCAAAAATGCATGTGAGAAAGTAGTGGTTAAATAAACAATTGGGTATAGTTACTGGAAGCATCCTGAAGAGAATCAGAGTTTTCCTATCGAAAAATATCGATTTTCAAGAATTCCATACCCTTTCTACGAAAAGTTGTTTAAAATACATGGAAAACTTTGAGCGCTTTGAGCAACATCTAAATATTTTTTTTGATTGGAAAATAAATTTTTTTTGGACCACCCTAATGCACATATACATATATGTACGTTTGCATGTACACTGCATGCGAGCACTCACTTAATGGAAACGTGCACTCATTCAACGCTCTTGTAAATGGCAGAGCCTAGAAAAAGGAAATGCACTTATACGCCTGACTTTTTGGGATGGTATCCTTTTTTTCAGAAATAATAAAATGCTTGACGTATCTAGATGTTTTTTGTTTCAAATGCATTGCTGGTTTAGTGTGAGATGCAGCTTTTTTGTATTTCTCTTCACTTGTGTGTGTTAGCATAAAAGTCTTACAAAAAAAAAACGAAATAATAATAACCTTTCGGCCGCATGTACGATTGTTTTCCTCAGTTGGCATCCTTCCGCAGGAGGGGTAGGGGGCTAGTTTCAAATAACTGCCACATAGTAAATGCGTATGGTTTATTTCAGTGCTGTGTGTATGCTTGTATATTGTCGAGATGTTTTTACGCATTCACACACACCTCATGGGGAGCGCAGTTGCCTGTATGCTCCGGTCTAAACAATTTTCGAATTTTTATTTGGCCAATTTTCCGAGTTTTTGATGCCAGGTTGGTTAGTTAAAGCTTCGCGCTCCGGAAGTAGAAGCTTACATACATTGTTAGCCTGTTAGCGCTTAGAAAAGTTTAATTGTGTATTAAGTTGAGTTATGGCGCAGCTTCGTAGACTATTTTTTTTTTAACTTTTTCAGTTTTAATTATTTATGTAAGTGTGTATATTAAATTGAATATTCCTTTTATGTGGGTTTTGTGGCTTACAACACTAGTTAGTTTGTGATGTTTTCGTGCGTTGGGATAAATACGTGGTTTGCTGGTGGTTAAAAAAATATTTTTACTTTTAAAAATATTTGAATATTTTGTATGTAAAGAATAAGATGATTCACAAAAATAAATTGCTAAATTGAGCGACCATAACAATATTATGCTTTTGTGTGCGGACTATGCAGGGCCCGATCCACGGGGGTCTTGAATTGCTTTTATTGTTCGAGGGATATAAAATTGAGTGAAGGGTGCACAGTTGCATGCAATAAACAATGCATTTTTTAAATTAAGCTGATCAAATTTTGTTTCGAATTTTGGACAGTGGAATCGTGTTGCTCGTCTCAAAACCTACAATATTAGTATAATAACAAAATACAAAAAATGTTTTTTTTTTTTTAATATATGCGTTAGATTTTGCAGGTTTTTTTTTCGAAGAACACTGTTTTTACCCAATTTTTTAAGGTCAACGAGTGATTGTGGCTCAATATCAATGTTTTTTCTTGAAAGGCAATTACATTAGCTTTCACAGCCATTTTGTTTCATATCAAAATATTGCTTGTGTCGAAAGCGTTACAATTAATTGGCATGAAGTTTTAAAAAAGCACACTGCATGCCGTCAAGTTAGCTCGAATATCTTATTTTTCAGTCGAGAAAATTTGAAATTTGAAATTAATACGGTGCATTTTTAGAATTTCTCGAAGAATACGATGCCATTTTTTATTTGTTAAAATTTTCAAATTCAAATTTTTTACTCGCCAGTTAGTTTTCATCAAATCGTCACACGGTTTTCAAAACTATGTAGATGGAACAAACTTTTAATTGTACCGTCACACGATTTTTTAGGACCAAATGAATTTTGGGGAGTATGGGGTCTCCCGCGCAAAATTAATGCACCAAAATTTGTATGCTGGTCATTCTATACACATATTGCTCCTCACAACCTTTTGCATTTGTTATGTTTGCATGAGATTCCAAAAAATTGCAGGTAAATCTGCTTATATTTTTTCTGTTTGGGATGAGTTAAAAATTTGTTAAATTTTTGCGGCCGCTGTGGTGTAGTGGTTAGCAGGGCGAGCTACCATTTCACAAAACATTTCTTTGAGTTTTTTTTTACCGAGTTTTGCAATTTAATCTGCACTTGGCAGGTTTTCACTAAAAATCACTGGCAGCACTAGTGCAGAGTGCCTTACTCACGCTCTCGTTTACGGGGCGTATGAGTCAAAGAGTGTGCCTTATTTATTGGACGTTACGTATACGCATAGGATGCTTAAGTTGATTATGTACTTTCCTTATGCATAAAATAAACATACATATTAATTTTAATTTGAATTTTTTTTTAAATTTTTGTTTTATTATTACTTCTTTGCAGTACAAAAAGAGGGCGGCACACAATTGAAATTGATCATCGAATTCCCCAACGATATCAAGGCGCTGATGAAACCAATGAGGTAATTAATTAATTATATAATTTTAAGAGTGTTCAGTGTTGAGGCTCTACGCTCATTACAAGAATCGACCACATTAATATCAACAAAGTAGTTAAACGATTTACCACTGATAATAACCAAATTCACTTAACTTTGCGTGTATGAAACTTATGAATAGTTGAGCATGCAATGAAGTGGAAATTTATTGTGAATACTGATTACTACATTGCAATTGCGCAGATGTGTGATTTGCATATATACATATTTATTGGCGTAGTCCTTAATTGGTCACAACTGGCGCACGCACATTTATATGCAGCAGCTATTCACAGCGCATTAATTGGGGCTGTTATTGCATATGGCAAGCAGAATAAACCTTTTTTAATCACAGCCCATAGCAATTTATTGCAACACCCGTTTGCCATGCATTCGACGCATTGAAGTAATAAAAGTCCAATTGCCTCTGAACAGATGGATGAAGGAAAAATAAGAATTGTGACAGTTGATGGCTGATATCTTGATTGGCAACGCTCAGGTGCGTTCAGTGGCTAACGAAAGGAACTCGAAGAAATATTCATGTGACTATGTGTGGTATACATATGTGCGTTAGGGTGGTAAAAAAAAAAATTAATAAAGTTGGAATTGTATGCTCTCATCGCCTAGGATTACTTTATATTGAAAAAATATGCCCTTGTTTTTTACTTTGAAATCAAAGAAAATTAAAAGGACGCTCAAAACGCTCAAAGTTTTCCATGTATATTATATGGGATCGGTAAGCTCTGGTTTTCTTCGGAAGACTTTTTAATTTTTAATAGTTAAGATTTTTTATTGGTCCGCACTTCATTTTCTAGGGCTTTCGATGGATCTATAAAATATAGTTACTATGAAAAAAAGGCTAAATAAACAATTGGGATTATTATTGGGAATCGCCCGCAGAGAAACAGAGTTTCAAGAATTCAATATCATTTCTTTGAAAAGTCTTTTTTCGGATATAACATACTTACCCGGCAATTTTTGAGCGCTTTCAGTGACATATAAATATTTTTTCATTTAAAATAAAAAATTGCGATATGTTTTTTTCGGTATAGAACAATCGTAGGAGATGATAGTTGAAAAAATCCGACTTTACTTTTTCACATGAATTTTTGAACCACCCTAACGTATACTCATACATGGAAAAATGTAAGGAATTTCCGTTGAAAGGAGTTTCCATTACAAGAGCGTACAATATCTGGCGTATGCCGACGAGGCCGATATAATTGGTAAAAACAAACGCTACGTCTATTCTGCCAAATTAGATAGAGAAGCGAAGCGCTTGGGTCACTGTTGATACGAGTAGCTATAATCTTGAAAAACCAAATTACTTCGTTTATTAAGGAACCAGCATTAACTGTCTCCTCCTCCTCATAATTTTTGCAACTTCTGCAGCATCTACGATAATGCGCTCCGAGCCGTTATGCGTGTTTTCCGATGAGGAAGTGACTTGTTAGAGCACCAATTATCTGAGACGTATCTTCCCTCTTTAGATACTATATACTTCGAGACCTTTTTCGATCCCACTTGAGCCAAGCTTGCCTCGAAATGCGACAGGTCCCATCCATCTCTCGCTCTCGCGAGTATATAAAAAAAAAATCGCTTTTAAGAGAGTTTGTATGTGGAAAAGGGTATACCAATGCTTTCTTTGCCCGGAATAATCCTCCTCCCTATACCCCCTATATCCCCATGAAGTTCTTATCCGGAACCAGAGTTTCAACACAACAGTCCGTGTAACCCGGATGAAAACTATATCTTTCTGCATAAAATCGCTCGGAGTTTGCTGGAACTAACCTTGTTGCTTCCCCATTTCGTCTCTCGCAAGAGAGAGGTCACGGATAAGCTCCAAAGGAGTGGCTAGAGCACGCCATCCTGTCGTGCGCCCCTGGTCACATATCTTGAAGCCGAGTTAACGCCATAGAATCGTTCAGTTCCTATCCCCCCAAGGCCATTTTATGGCCTCTGAATTTATGTTTTTAATAGCTCCCCCAATGTCTAGAAAGGCTACAAGACAATAGTCCTTGTAACTGAAGGACTTTTCAATAAAACCAACCAGGTTGTGCAACGAGGTCTCCATGGAATTGCCCTTCACATGGGCATCTAGATGTTGAAAAATTTACTAATTATAATTTCTAGGGGTTTAAGTACAAAGGAAGAAAGACTAATGGGTCTGCGATAATTTGGATTTGTATGTGAAGCCTTACCGGCTTTAGGAATAAGGATAACGTAGACAGATCTCCACGACGTCGGTATGTAATTTAGCTTAAAACAGGCTACGAAAATGTTCATTGGAAAATTTAGAGAGTTTCCAAGCGCCGCAGTCAGTTCCGCGGGTAGCTTTGTATCGCTCAAGCAATCCTTTCCCTTGTGACAGCCACGTTCACTACCCCGCCCGAAGGAGGGTGTAGAGAGCTGCTGTCTGCGAACTCCCTGGGAAATGTGTGCCCAGGAGCAGTTGTACTGTTTCGGGTTTGAGGATCTCGACCGAATCTTTCTTAATCCGCCAGTCTCGGAAGTAGCCTCGACAACACTACATAAGTCTCTCCAGGAGCTTTCATACATTTTCTTATCTTTATATTTTCAGATTTCCGCGCGAACAACAAACGTTGCCAAATCATTTCTATTTTACAGATTATGAAAGACATAATGCCGAAATTGCTGCGTTTCATTTAGACCGGTAAGCTAAAAAAGAAACAACAAAAAATTATTATCTATCTTTATTTTACTCGTATTTACCATATCATTGGCTTAGTTCGCAAACGTGCTAAGTCCACTTTTTATGTAAATTGAGATTTTCATGCAGTAAGATAGCATATCTGAAAATACATCATTACCAAAAAAGAAAATTACCGTCATGTCGTTTTTACTTGTTGTTATGCATTGGTACGCAAATGTGCTAAGTCCAAAAAAATCCAAAAAAAAAATATGTACACGTCTATCCGTGTACACGATAACTCGAGATATCTCAACGAAATTTGGTATGTAGGTTGCCCTTTATCCAAGGTAAGTTGGTATTAAAAATGGGCGAATCGGAATGTAACCACGCCCATTTCCAATATAAAGGTATATTCTAAAAATGCAAAAACTACGATATTTCAGTAAATATTGGATGCAAATTGTTCAAAATTAGTATGTGAAGTAGAATTTTTGTAAAAAATATTATTATAATTTTTGGAAAAGGGGCGTGACCCCGCCCACCTATTATGAAATGCTGTATCTCAGTAGCCCATTCACCAATCTCCACCAAACTCGTTACGAGCCTTATTTAGGGTCTAGCTAAGAAATCTGTTAAAAATCGAATTCACTTAAAATCGATGATCGCGATAACCACTCAGCAGAAAATAAGATTATGATACATTTTTGGATAATGGGCATGGCGCCGCCCACTTATGACCACAAATGTGTAACTCGGTAACCGATTTATCAATTTCTACCAAACTCGGTGCACTTAATAAACCTGGTACGGAAAAGCAATTCGTTGAAAATTATTCAAATCGGACCAAAATTACATTCGCTTCCCGTATATCTAACGGTAAATTTCAAAAATACGGAAACTCTGATATTTCAATAACTGAAGACGCTAATTTACTTCAAGTTAATACTTACAACAATCTCTTAACAATAAATAAGACTGCGTGACACCGCCCACTTTATGACTACAAGGTGTATTTCGGTAGCCACTTTAGCGATTTCCACTAAACGTGGTTCAATTATTTCATTGAGTTTAACTCAGGATATTATCGAAAACGTTTGAAATCGGGAAAAAGCCCCTGCTTACGACAGTATTTGATACGGGTATATAAAGTTCGGTTTCGCCCAAACTTATACCTCTTTACTTGCTTTTAATTAATTTCTTTTATAAATGGTACATAAATCTACGACTTAAAATAGTTATTTTTGTTAATAGCAATGAAATAAAACTGTATTAGGTTATAATTCATTTTAAAACTATAAAATATATTTAAAATAAATAATTAAATCGTTTAACAATAAAAAATAATGGAAAAAAGGTTGATAGAAAATGTGCTAAGTCCAGATTAAAAGAATAAAATCTTAAAGAGAAAATGTGCTAAGTCCTAAAAGAGCCTATAAGTCTGCAACAGCTTTATTTGGAAATCGGCCGATTATTGGTACTAAAACAAGACGAACTAAGGAATAAAACTGCATTTACAGATTAGAAAAATATTGAAAACAAAAAAAGTTAGACGGTTTTTTGTCCCTCCTGAAAAAAAAAAAAATGGACTTAGCCCGTTTGCGAACTAAGCCAACGATATATGTAATCATCATCAGCGTATTAAGTATTGCATTTTTATACATATAAATATTTATTCAATAGGTACTAAATATAAAAGTATGCACAATAATAAGAAAATATTAAACTGGTGTCCATCTTTATACTCGCATAAATGTCCGCACAAGCATACAGGAATATCGTAATAACAGGAAAGCGATATCCTCTCCTTAATTTGCATTTATTGCGCATTTTATCCTCATTCGTTCATTCATTTGAATTTCATATTTTCACTTTTTTAACCATTTTTCTTACTTTGCCTTCTTTTCTGCTGCTTTGTGTATTTTAATCCTTTATTTAATTTCGAGAGTAATTAAAATCAGCCTTAAAGAATAATGTCAAAAAATTTCCTTCCACACGGTTCCCTCTTAGGAGCTGGTTTGGGTGGCATGCGTAATCGAATTTACTTTATTCAGGTTGCCAGCAGTTTAATGCCTTATTTTCGAGTTAAAATATGTAGGGTGATAAATTGAGAGATGGTGGCCAAAGTTTTCTGCATGTGCAATGTCAAGGTGATGCCTGAGAAAACTTAACTCGAGAGCTGTGCTTATGTAGAAGTAAAATTTTAGATAAAATGTGAAAATTTAGATATACATACATATACATACCTGCATAAATATCTACTTTTTTGGGATTAGCGCCCTATCAGGACTGCTTACGGTTCGCAATCTATGGTCACTCTAAGCATGTACGACTTGTTTGGATAATGAGGATAGTACAGAACGTTTTCGTGCCGCTATACGGCCTTCGCCAGACACAGATGGTTCTATTTTGGGTCAGATGCATTGGGAATGGACGAGCTACTTTCTCTTTCCCTCGATAAGCTCTGGTAATACTCAAAAGGTGAAATAAATTCCCACCACACCTATATATATTTATGCTCTAAAACCTCTCTCTAGACCTTAAGTACTATAGGGAATACTACCTGAGTGCTGAGAAAATTAGTTTTTTGGGTTTTTCGACCACTCACAATTACATACCGTTATACACATATTTTTGGCTTTTTACTTCTGTGTATCAGTAAAAAAGTCTGATTTTCTCTGACAGTCAAGCAGCTTTAAACTCACACATAGACAAGGAAAAATCCTGAAATGACTGTCACAGATCTTTCAACGAGGTGGACCAGTATTATAGACATCAATTCCCATGGACAGCGGAATAGTAATGATAGTTTAAAAGTTAACAAATTATGAGAAATGGTATGACTACTTCTCGGAAAATAAGACGAAAGATATTTCAATGGTCACCTTTAAGCAATTGGTTAAAAATTAAACCACTCGGGTAGCAAAAGAACGCTTAAGCACTATTTGAAACCTTCACAGTTACTTGACATCATAAAAAGAAACGTACATTAATGCTCTGTATGCTTAAATAAAACAATTTACTTCCTCATCAGTACTCTCTTGAGTTATTATTAAGCATTGTCGGTCTTGGCCCACCCGTGNAACAATTTACTTCCTCATCAGTACTCTCTTGAGTTATTATTAAGCATTGTTGGTCTTGGCCCACCCGTGACAAAAAAAGGTAAAAGTTGTTTCATTTAATTACAGAAGTTGAAGTTGTGTTTCGGGTTTGTTACATAATGTTAGAGAGATCGCGTTGATTTTTAGTATTTTTTTTTGGCTGACGGTGCTAGGCTTGTTCTTCTATATAAAATGCACTATACTAAGACAAAACGTGAGTGAATTGAACCCCTACTTGGCTTCTTTATTTTTTAATGACTAATATTTAATATAGACCACACTAAAAGCTCCTTTTCATATAAAAATTCGTACTTGACCCACCCGGGACAAATGATATCACACCCGTGACAGAGGAATTTCGAATTTTTTTTTAATAAAAAAACCATCCTTTTTGTTGTAGTTTGTACTTGTTTGCATTCGTGGTTCTTTGTTTTATTATAAGACATAAAGTTCACACAGAAAAGTGAAATAAATTCGCAGAATTTTCATAAAATATATCAGCTCCTAAAAACAAGTTCTATTTTTTTGTCCCACCCGTGATAGAAAAAAATTAACTCAGATTTTTTCCATATAAAAGTAAGTTGGGATTTTATCTCGTATTTTGTAATAACTCATACAGTAGTCAATTAGGTGTAGCTTTATCAAAATGCAGAATTGTTCAGTACTTTATACTTACTTTAATCACAAATTTACTCGGATTCGGAAAACTATCCACCCAAGGCTTTGCAGAAATCTTCTTCTACTTCTTATTTGGCATTGCAACCACCTAAGTAAGTTTGGTTGAGTTCAACTAAGGATGCCACAGTCAGTGGAGGGCTCCCTCTTCCTCTGCTACTACTAGCTGGTCAATTTTTTTTTGTTGGGCGACCACTTATGCGTGGTATGTCACTTATATGCTGAGGGTACATAGGAAAATGTTCTCTCGCTCTGCTCAGCAATCCCTACGTTACAACTTACCTGCCTTGTTCGGTAGCCTTTTTGAGAGTTATTTATTGCCAAAAAACCTGCAAAGGTTAAAGCCTATGTCTCTTTTTGGGCTTTACGAAAGGAATTAAATATGTGCTGCTGGCAAACGAACCTTATCTCATCTGTATAAGAAAGCAACAAGAATTGCTGCAAACATTTTTAAATAAGTTTTAGTTATTACTGTAGGTGCTTGAACGCTACGGTGTTGTTCTTAATAATATTTTTGCTGCCGCCAGAAAGTATTAAATTCTATTTGAACGACCTCCCCAGTGTCCTTCCACTCCCATTGACATCAACGCTCATTGTAGGTATCTTTATTGTGTCTAACTATTGTGTCAACATGAATTACGTTGTAAATACATACAAGCATACACTAGTGGAAATTGAATGTACACATGTATGTATGGATGTATGTATGTATGTATGTGGGTGCTGTCAGCAGACTGTCTCCTGTTTGTTTTCTTATTTTATTTGCTACTGCTACCAACAAAGTCAAATAACATTGCTAGCACACCTATAGTAAGTGAGTTTGAGTTGTCGACCATGGGGCAGCAACAACAAAATTAAAGAATGTTTATCCTTCTTGCTCCTAAGAAACTCAACATAGAATGTGTAAAACTACTTTATGCTTTCATGCCTCATACAGCGTTATTGCCTGGTGCAGTTTGGTATTTTCTTTTCGCTGCATTTTCTTGTGAAATATTAGTTGGATTTGGATGTAGACATGGCAACATTCAGTAAAATAAGCGTTTCAACCGCTCGGAAACATTTAATTCATTTCGTTTGCTACATGCTTTTTTTTAGAGAAAACATTCTGGGAACATTTATTTCTCCTTTTTTCTCATCTAACCAGCAAGCGTTCACCGTGCAACGAATTAGGGCTCGATTGCTGTAAAAAAAGCAAGTTATTTTCTGTGTTTTTAGTTTTTATGCGTTCATTCAACCATCCATTTGTCATTACATGCACTTACTCGTATTCATACAACAAATTTTTATTGCCACTACATCGCCGGTTAATGGGTTTCTTGTGCAATGCTTATTTAGACATAAATACATATTTATATTATTCTCATATGTACTCGTACTTCTGTATACATATGTATATTTTTTTGGTTTTGTACTAAGTTTCCATTTGTATATATATTTTTTTTTTGTTTTTCTGCTTACAGCATTTTGGGTTTCCGCCGCGCTATGCCCGTCGCCGGTCGCATACTAAATATTACAACAGAAATTTATCAAGTCGCCGACGACAATTTATTAAGAACCTTCTTTGTTTCACCATCATCGAATTTGTGCTTCCACGGCAAGTGTTCCTATTACTGTGACACCAGCCATGCCGTCTGCGGTAACCCGGATATGTTGGAGGGCTCATTTGCTGCTTTCCTGCCCAGTTACGAGCAAACAGGGCGAAAGGTGAGTTTGCGTGCGTGTGTGTGTGTGTGTGTGTGTGTGTGTATGAGAGTTTGTTTGTATTACTGAGTGAGCGTAGAATTCGCTCAAAACAAATTCTAGAATTAAATAAACGCCTGCAGGTGATGTACTAATGCGTTGTGTTGCATTTTATTTTCTTAATTACATACTATGTACTCCTAACGTTCTCATTCTTTATGAAATATATTTGTTTTTATTTTATGCCATAAAATATGCCCTTGCCAGTTAAGGGTGAGGACAGTGCGAAATATGGAATCGAAAGCTTTTCTTCAACCCTGTTTCCCTATCATTTAACTTGAAAATGTAATATAATATGACACCAGAAGAAGGTCTCTCACTATTGAATGCTGTATACAGTATCTATCCTACCTTATAGGCCCACTACTTGATTCTAG